CCGGCGCGAGCTGGCCCCGCGTTAATGCGCGAGTGCGCGGCGGCCGCCGGCATTGTTTTCGCGGGCGGCCGGGAGCACCTGTTCGGTCGCGTGGGAGCGCCCCCGCAGCCCTTCACGCTCCGCCGCTCCGTGTGCACTGGTGAAGATCAGGCGCGCGCGCGCGCGGCGGTCGGCTCGTTTGCACAGTGGTGACGCTCGCGCTGGTGACTGGGCAGTGGTGGCGAACGCGCTTCTGGTTAAATGCAAACTGTGAAATGTGTTAGGTGATTAAAATTTGTTTCGGTAAAGTGTAAAAAAATTGCGGAAATTTGTTTAGGTGCATATGTGCAAACGGATTTACTGTAAATGAAGTCCGCTTTCAATTCAAAAGTGTGTGCGTTAATAAATGTATGTCGAAAGTATTGTACATTTTTTTTATTTTTATTTAAACAATGGAGAACTAATTACAGTAATAGAGTAAAGCAATTTAAATAAATATGCGTATATTGCAAAATGTTTACATTGTGAATCGAATCACTCGTCTACGAAAATTTGATTGCTATAAGTAATTCATCGACAGCTTCTGATATTTCCAAGATAAATTACGATTTGAGAATCGAGAGGCGAATTTACCTAAAAAATACCAACGCATAACTGGAAATTACTAGAATTATATTAAAAACTAAAATAAACAAATATTTTTTAAATGTGCATTAACTTTGTCATAATATTTCAATGAAATAAATATTAAGAAGATTTAGATGCATTTTGGACTAGAGATCACAATACACTGAACAAAATAATTAAAAAAGGAATTTACTTTAACACGTAGATGTTAAATAAACAATTTCCAAAACTGCAATTGAATGGAATTTTATCAACTACACAATTTGTAACTGTTGGGATTGATGACGATTCCGGGCAACATCCATGGGTATTTAACATTTTCTGCTGCTGCGTTTTGTAAACATGCATTCAGAGAAGAGGAATTGGAAGATAGTGTACTTTTTATTACTTCATGTGTCATTACCGTGGTAACTCGTCTTGAATCACTCCCTCGACAGCTGTGATTCATGATGAGTCAATATTTTTTTTCGTTTGTCTTCTCCAGTAAGTCAGTGAATTCAAATGCACCGCAGAAAATAATACAAATCATAAAAGAACGAATTCTCTGCAACACGATTCGCGTAACTTTTAAGTAAGTGGGAAGTGAGCGATAGCAGCAATAATTTCATTTTTTATGGTGAATTACAGTTCACATTAATTGATCTCTGACTTATTATGATGTGCGAATTGCCGTCAATCCTGGAGTGAAACTATTTCATTCCAGGATTTTAATTCGAATAACATAGTTATTATGAATTAAACTACTGGTAATACAACAGCTTTCGTTTTCTTGCATTATTTGTAACAGTTTTGCAATATTACAATATTACTTAAAAATCATTGTTAAAAAAATAAAAGATTACGTCCGCTATCCCAAATATTTCCTTCATGTTATGGAACCATGTAACGGTGTACGAACCAGCTACTTCGTTTTAGAGGAAACGATTCGACGCAACCCACCATACACAAGTGTACTGAACATTGCCTACCTCAAAAACAACGTTGCTTGCAGGGCGCGTCAAGCACGTTGTTAGCGAGGACGGAGAAAAAGTTGATTTTGCTTCATTAGCTCGCTTCACTGTGCAAAAATTAAATTAAACTGGTGGCCGGCAGCAGCAAATATGCTGAAGAAAACCACACAAAATGGTATTCCAAAAAGTGACTGAAGAACAACGTGAAAAATACTCTCGAATAACAGTGCAATAAATTAAATATTTTAACATTAAAAATTATTTGCAAGTACTTTAATATCATAGTAAACAACTAAGTACAGGAGATATTTACATACCAATAATAATTACAAAAAATTCTGTTCTGTAAATTGCAGCTTCCTTTGATCCTCGTTAACGCATGCGTCAGCTTTTTGTAAGAAGTGACACACTGAATGTGAGAATTCCGTATGTACGCGCAGTTTTACAATACAGGGAATATCACAATAACACATATTTGCTATTTTCAGTGGGAAATGGATCATTTATTGTTATTTGTTTTAAAAGTTCCTGATTATATAATAAAACTTGAAGATTTTCCAGCTTCAATGCGCATTGTAAATAATTATTGACTTTTTTTATTTTAATAGTACTAGGTTTATGTTGCGAATCATTAGAAAAAATAATAATATAATATCATGATACTTGAAATCAAAATCTATTGATTCCCAACTTTTCCCCTCGACTGTGCAGTGTCATGAATTTACTAATAGTCCTTATGATGCAATAGTTATTTATTATATGTTACTTCAGGTTTGGTTTAATTCCAAACAGAATGTTGTTAAATTATTTCACAGTATATAATTGATTAAAATAATTTCGTTTTATATCAACAAATGTAACTCTTACATTTATTTGATTCTGAAGAAAAGAGAACATGGTTTATATGAAGACACATAATATGAGAAATCAATTATCTGATGCTACTTTACTTAATAAATTAAATTTATTGTGAATATTTGAGGATTTTTGTTATAGAAGCTACAAAATTGTGGTATAATTGATTAACCAGGTATTGAACATATAATTCGCTTAATGAACTGTTTTGTTTTGCAATTTATTCAACCCAATGCTCTCCATAAACTCACGTTCGTAGAAAGAAACATTATATATTACATCCGAGAAAAATATAACTCTTAAACAAAATTAAGATCCCATTTACCAACTTACAATCTTCTGCCACATTTTGCTCTCTATATTGTTAATTAATTCAGGTACTTATTCGTTGAGAGACTTCCGAAAACAATGAACGGATATTAAAATCATGAGTAACAATAGAGGATTGCATGGTATTGGTTCCATTATATTGCTTTCCAAAGCTTGTGTTCTTGGAAAAATCATTTTCTTGACGCTGCTGAGCCAGAATTTCTGGAAGGAAGCATCCTGAAGACGGCGGTAGTTGCGATCTTATTCAAAAGAATACCACTCATTTCTTTCATAACTTGTCGGGCAAAATTTAGGAAGAGAATTGTGGAAGACAGCAAACGCAGCAAAAAGGAAGTTGATCAAAAAATGTGACAAATGAAAAGTCCAGCCGCGGAGAACATAGTTAGCCAGTAGATGACGCAATTTGTCAACCGTCCAGACGCGATTCGCCGGATGGTCAGCAGTGCCAACCTGCCGGCAAGCGATGACTGATCATACACTTCCTTCGCCACAACAGCGCGTGCGCAGTGATTCATCGTTGCTTTCTCCTCACACGACACACAGAGCACAAAAGCGAAGCAATTTTTCCAAGATTCACAGATGAAATTGGCCCACTTTTCATTTTCTTTCCGCAGAACATTTTATACATTTGCTTTACAGGTCTGTGATGTTTAGCTTCTCCCACATAAAGTGCACAACAATGTTTCTTCAGAAGGACGTTTTATCGAATGTGACGGTAATTGATAAAAAATTAATTCAGCGGTAAATAATTCTTACTGCATTTAATTGTTTGCAATATGCGTGAACGAAATGGATATGAATTCAATTTATCATAAAATCATATTTAAATATTCTCATTTGCGAACCTCATATTAGAATTTTTAATATCTTAGGGGCAACATTATTTTTAAATGAACTGCGTTTTTATAAAATGGATACTGTATGGCTTTTTCTCATTCATGCAATTTTCTTCGTTTTTTCTGATGATTTTTGTTAAAATTATTGGTATTGTACTTTATCATGATCATGTTATAAAGTGAATTACGAGCAAACAAACGAAGAATTCTGTAATTAGCTTTGAGACAAAATATAAACTTCAGTGATCGCTCAAAATTTGAGTGGTATTAAGGGAGCCCACATATTATTCATTTAAGGCTGCTTTTGTCCATCCTCCATTATGGCAAATCCTCTCTTCTCCGCGCGATGTCGGGACAAAGCATTCTATTGCCCCGTTTTTTTACATTTGTAATGTTCCTTTTTCTCCCTGGACTTTTCCGCTGTCTCGTCTGTAAGAGGCGACTCGTAGGCCTGACTGTAGTTTTTCCGTTTTCAAGTTCGGCACAGATGCACCCCATAGCACCCAATTATTTAGCAAATTTTGGAATTGAGAAATATTCTTTGAAGGAAAGGAAGAGGGTTCAATGATCTTTCATGTAATTGGGAAACTCTCTAGACACAACAGCACAAGAGCAAACATTCATGTTTTAGGCGGTTTCGAACTCACTACTCCATACCAGATCCCAACAAAACATCCGCCTGAACCATAACAGCTACTCCGATTACCGAATTAAAATGTGTTTTCTCTTCAAATAAAACCTTTTCAAATAAACTCAATAAAAACTCTTTAAATAAAGAGGTTTTCCCATGAAAACATACCTCATTTCTTGCAACAACGCGTTTATAATATATTTTCATTGCAGGTTAGGCTTTTTGCAAATTATTCACATTTTTTGTTTTCAGCTTCCCATTTCTGGAGCTAATTTTTTTTTAGATCATGTTCCTGTTGTATTTGGCAGATAAATACACTATATTTGCTTTTGGTTGCTGGGGAATATTTTTAGAAACTTTTGAAGAAATTCTAAAAGTATAATTTCTTAAACACGTGTTTCAGTTATTTCAAATTGTTGAATAAAATTATTTAATTTTACTTGCAAAAAATTTTCTTGAGCAAACCTAATTTTCTGCAGACACGAAAAGGAAAGCTATGGCAACATTAAATTTACTGAAAACGCTTATATATTTAGGATAAATGTGTATTAAATACATATTAAAAATATCAAATTTATTTTTAATAGTAACGAAATTAATTAATTATTCCGTTATTGAAACATCAACTTAATTAAATTGTAAAGTTGTCAAGAGAACTAAGGTAAACTCGTGGCCGAATTTGTTCCCCTGCAGATGCAGTAAGTTCTCTAAACTACTAAACATTCCCCAATTTCCTGGAGGCTGAAAAACGCGAAATTTATCTCATTTGGCCAGCGCGCGTCGAACAAGAATATGCGTGGTCCCCGCCGCCGCCGCTGCGCCATCGGGCTGCCTCCGGGTGGCGTCGCCAGACCTCGCCCCGCTCGCCCCGGTCGCCCGCTGGCGCGCCGTGTCCCAGGCTTCAAAACGCGCTCAGGTGGGATAAAGAGGGCGGCGGCGCGAAATTAAAGGCCATAAATCGCCGCGTTGGCTGTATTGGAAGTCCGCCGGCGGCGCTCGATTAATGGGCCGGACCACCGCCCGGGGCGAACCGGGGACGCCAGACAGGCGGCGGGGGGCGGGCGGGCCGGACAGGGCCACCGGCGTCGCGCTCCATCGCGCCCCGCCCCTCGGCGTGTTCAGTCCGCACGGCCGGCCCGATCCACCCATCTTTGGATTTCTCTCCACCCACCCTTCCATTCCCCCAAACAATCTGACCTGATCCACGCCTTGCCACTAACTTCCCTCCCATCGCGCATCGCATTCTCTCAGTCAATACCTACCTTCTACCTACTCTATCTAAATCTTCCGTCCCTTTGATTGCACCCATCCTCTCTCCTCTCCTCTCCTCTCCTCTCCTCTACCTCTACCTCTGCCCTTACCAATACTCTTCCACTCGACGCTTTGCCTCCTACCCCTAGGCTTTTCCTCACCATCCCGTCCAATTTCAACCTAACCTTCCCTATCTCACCACATCCTTCTTTGATTCAACTCTTCCCGCCCAGCCATTTTTCTCGTCCTCACGCTCCCCGTGTATTTCCAGTGACCCTTCCCTAGTCGTCCACTCCCCACTCTTACCCACCTCACTCCACCCTCCTTTACTACCTTAGGTGACAATGGGCATCAATTGATGTTTGTGAAGTGCCTCTGACCGGGACAACCTACGGTTCGAGTCCTGGCGGTGCGGTCGCAGGATTTTCGACACTAGCTATGTCGAATTCAGCTGCTGTCTGATGGGGAATACAGCTGTGCTGAATAGTCTTCATTAGTTTCTCATGATTTTTCCTATCTACACCAGGCGAAAGATGGAACAGTATCCTAACAAACGGGTCACAGACAGCGCGCGCTTTCCTCCTTCTTTCTTGTCCTATCCTCACCCTTTGCTTACACACACTTACTGTTTCATGACTACACTTCCGCGCATGTCGAGACACCACTCCGGGGCTGAATATTTGATGATAATAATAATAATATTAATAATAATAATAATAATAATAATAATAATAATAATAATAACAAAAAGAAGAAGAAGAAGATTGTGTTACAAATTTATTCAGCGCGGTAACTAAGTAGTAGTAAGAAGGAATATAATTTATATAATACATGCAGCCGCAAGCCCAGTGAATATATTATAAGGTAAATGTTCTCAAGGGTTACTCTTATTACGAAAACAACATTGCATTGAATGAGTGATATTTTAAATTAGGTACCTTCATTTATAAATTCAGTATACAGTACTATAGTTGTATGCCTAGAATACTGAGTAGGGATGTCTATGTCCTAACCACACATATCTCTTAATCCATGGCCGCAAGGCTGGGGCACCTTTAGTAGACTTTGGCCAACACTTTGTTTCTTTTTCAAGTGAAGATTCCATGTAATACTATTTACAAAATTTGAGGGCAGTTTTTAAGCTTGAATAAAATAGGTGAATGCAAGGTGAAACCATATCCTTTAAAAAAATACAAAATTTTAGAAAATGTAGTAATTTCTTACGAAATTCATAAGTAACACAGTGATTTGTTTCAAGGAAACCTAGTTTCAGGAGAGGAAGTTCTTTTAGTAAAATCTGTCGCGTTTTTCGAACGCCACATCTAAGAGTAATGACATGCTGTAATTTAAAGCCACATCTCTTTCAGCAATGACGAAAGCAGAAGCTCTTCATTTGTTGGCGGAAGGGACGCGCGTCAGCTTTCTTGCAACGTTAATCCTCATCGCGAGCGGGAGGAACAAATTCGAAGCGATGAATGCAAGAGAAGAGCTGCCAACATTTTCGTCGTATGACGTCTCCCACCGCGAATTTCACCGCTTTCCCTTCAGGACTGCGTTTTGATGGAAAGATGGAATCCCGTTAATGAAGTCAGTTTGAAGATATATGAAATATTTTAATGTAATGAAACGTTGAACGAGGGCGCGTCGCTACCCACCGTCCAAGGTGACGCAATGGTCTCAACATATCTCAGCCGTCCAGTCAAAGAGTACGGAACATCTGTTTCGTTTTTAAATTTCTAAATACCGGAGAATGTAGGCGTATGTGTCTCGTCATCAAAAACTCGTTTCTTTTTCGTGCAGAATATTCGCTCCGTGTCCTTCAGCTCGTTACTACAGGAACGCACTGTGAATTCTCATGAAATCACAACAAAAATGATGCCATTAGAATTTCCGCGACGGGGTTGTCCAAACCACGGAGGTGATTTGCAGGGGGGGAGGAAGATGTGGAGAGGTTGACGAGGAGATGATAAGGATGAGGGGGCGTGGAAGACGGGGATCGCGATAAGAACGAGGAATACTCTGAGGAGGACGAGGAGGAATAAGAGGAGTACGAGGAGGAGGAGGGCGAAGATGAGGAAGAGGTGGAGTACGACGTTAGGAGGAGGACTAGAGAAGGACGACGAGAGTAGGAGCAGGCAGAGGAGGAGGTGGAAGACGACGAGAGGTGGAGGCGGAAGGAGACGCATAGGTTGGCAAGAGTAGATGGTGGACGAAAAAGAGGATGCCAAGAGGAGGAGGACAGGAGGAGGATGAGGACAAGAGGGGGACGAGAAGAGAATGAGCAAGAGGATTGGGAGAAAGCTGAGGGAAAAAATTGTTTCCGTTTATTTCTAATGAAACTAAACAGCGCCGTGAAGCCATACATGCTGCAAAACAGCGCCATGGAGTCAATCACACGTAATTACAGGGCGTGAATTGGAACGTTTCTCCAGAGGAAGTCATTCAAACCTCTAGGAAGGAGCGAGTCGAAGAATAGGGAAGCGCAACGAAGAACGCCTTGGTGTACACAACACAGAACGAATTCTAAGAACTCTCTTGGAATATTTTTCTTGTTCATTTGTTTTTAATATTTGAATTTCTTGTTTTAACATATAAAAGGAATCTGGTAATCATGAAAAAGACGTCTAATGTGAATTGTTGCTTATTCTTTGGTAAGTGTAAATTAACATATTCTGATAGGGAACTTCAACTACTCCCGCCACTCGTCGGCGCCAATTCTCACTCTGCGTAAAGGTGTTCAGCGACATACTTAGTCCTAACATACTCGTCTCGTACATTAGCACAAAACGAGTAGTAGGGTCCATGTGGGTATTTTAACAATGATCAATTGTCAAAGACAATGATCAATATACCGAACTATTTGCTATCTCTGTTAAATTGTAACGTTAACATTACAGGTTCGTTTGTAAACAACAATTTAGAATGTAATGTATGCAAGGTAATCTAAACTCATTTTGTATTTCCAAATTTCGTTTAAATTGTCCCAATTTTAAATAAACTCATATCACATGAAAATTTTTCGTTGGCCATCTTAAAGAACACGGAAATAGAAAATAATATATTATAATATATTCTAAGTCATCCAACTTTAGCACGAATTTCGGTTGGGCATACTAAGAAAGTTGCAATAAATAAAAAAAATTGGCAACACCAACCTTCCGACGAAACCCTCCTACAGTTAACATGACCATCCACAAGCATACTAATCGCAATACTGGCAACATGTTTTGATTATTAATAACAACTCGTAATTAAAACGTGGCGACTTGTACCTGCTTTAAGCCGTGTAATTATATTGTATCAATGGGTCTGCGTGCCATCAGTAGGGCGCGTGCGATGTGTCGCTTTCGCTTAATTAATCACTCCGGCAAAATGTGGTTCATTTAATTATTGCTGTTTTATGTGGCTTCATTAAAGCTTACCGGGTGGGCACTTTCACAAATCTGTGACAAATATTGAATTCTGCGCAATGGATTGTTGTAGGCGGTAATAACGTTATAAATGCATTTGAAGTTTTGGAAGATAATTTCGAGAATAATTACCACTCGTTCCTGGTTTTAAATTGAAAATACTTTTCAAGCGTGTTTTGAACAATTTTTGCCCGCATGTCGGATAATTGAATTCAGCATGGAATGTTTCATTCTACCGTTGGCGTGTATGTATAGCAGTTTACCAGTGTTTTCAAAAACGATTAGAAATCGTCATAGCGGAAATTGTTTTCACTTTCGACTAACGTACGAAATGAAATTTGTTTTTCAATGATTGATTAATCATTGGGAGTTTCTCTGTAAAATTATAAAATTTACTTTCTTTCAGATATTAGTGTCTCTTTTTCAGACAGTAAAGTGAAATATTGAATAATTTGTTTTAAAGTAAACGATTATTTACATAAATTGTAAAATTGAATTACCCAAGATAACTATACGAAAACAATGATAGCATTATATTGCAAAAGGTAATGAAATGCTCAAGATATATGTTTTGACATTTATTTGTAATCCTATTCCGAAAAAAACAATCATTAAAAACATAAATTGCGTTACTAACAAGGATGTAACATTTACGCCCCTAAATGTACAAATAGACTATTTCTGAATATGGCATGAAGGCACTCTCCTTGAAAACAAAACTGGCCAGACGTCACGACTTGCAATTGTACAGGTTAAGGTGTAAATCGTTATTTCTTCTAATACGTAGTAACCATGGTCACTGGAAGGATATATATTTAAATAGCGCTGTGATAACCAATACCCGTTTTTTCCAAATTTGGGAAATTATGCAGAAGATTACATCTTTATATAACTCAGTCAAACCTATATTTAAAGGTTTTAACTCGTGTGTGCTGAAAACTAAGTGCAGATTTTCTTGGCGATGTGAGCATTTTCCTCTTGTTATTATATTCTTTCAATTTTTTCTGAAATATTTGGGATTCATTTCCACTGTTTTAATAGTAACAGTAAGAATAGAATTTACATATAACTGAAATACTCAATTGCATTAGACATCACTTTAACAAAACGTTATTATCCATATTCGTTAGATATTGGACTTAAGTAGTTTTAAAATGTTTGAAAAAGAAACATCCGCATTTTTACTCACATCAAATTGTCAAATTCTTTGGTGAAATTCTGTTTATTAATGTTGTTAATGTTTACATTTCTCGAGTTACCAAAAATCTTGGAAGAATCGCCTAATCTAACATTTCTATCAGAATCGAACCTTAGAAAACTTTCACCATTTACAAGAAAAATGAGAAAGCTCCTTGTATCAAACGTTTCATAACTCCGGGCTTTAGTTTTGTAATTTATTCAGAGAAAAACTTGGAAATAGCGTTGCATGTAGTTGTCTTTTTCATGTTCATAGCATGATGTTCAAAAGTTTATTCAAAGATACTTGTACCAAATTTATTCGATGCAGAACGCCCATTGGTTGATGTAATGAATATTTGGATGTTGTGTGTTTAGCAGAAGATTATTATTCCATGTTTATATCACGAAAATGAACGACATATGAAGGAATATGTTTGCCTCCCAACAAAGTAGTATTATCTATCATTTCTGAAATAGTACGGACAAAGTACTATACAACTTTTGTTTCGAAATGTTTTTTTCTTATTGTCACGCTCAATAATACTTGTATTTCACTTTCGATCATATAGATTTCGGATCGTGAAGAGAGAACATAAACAGTGCTCAGAGCACTGAACTGACATTGAGGAAATCAAACCTTTACAGAATATACCAAATATTGCAGAGTAAGTGCAATTTAATATTTTTCTATTTATAGAATAATTAAAGAAATCTTTGGCTTGTTACTACAATAATATTATCAGCCTTCTTAAATATTAAAATAATAAGTTAAAGCCTCTGCTCGTCTTTCATTTTTGAAAGGTAGTTAATTAGACTTTCAGTTTTCGAAGTCATAGTAATATGGTTTGTCAAAAGTCTGGAATACTATGCAAAATTAGATGCTGTTTATAATGCTGCATTTTATTTGTTTCGTATCTCGTGTTAATTTCAATATAAAAGTATCTATCAAAATAAACACAAAATTATTTTGTTGGGCAAAAAATACGCAAAGGTAGGCGAAAGCTACACATGTGATTCCAATTGCAATTACACTAGTGGTTTCTAGGTTTCTGTGAAAAGTTGATGAAGCATTTTCTTTCTCAACATAATTCCATCTCGCCATTTTCACAATTCGTGTCATTTTTATAGTAAATTTGATGTTTTGTTAAAATATCAATTCATTTATTGATAAAATTAATCTTTTATTTCCACATTGATTTTCAGGGAGGTGATAAAAACCTTATTTTGCTTTAAAATTTAAAAAAATGTAAAAATAAATTAGTTTTTAGCATAACGGAAACTTTTCATGAAAACATTGTCTGACAATTTTCTATTACTATTTTACTAAGATTACACTTTCTTTAACATCCAAATACTCCATAAACGCCCACTATGCTTTTATATATATTTGAATGAATAACTATTATACGTATCTGTTGTAAATACGTAACTAATGAAAGATTAAATTTTTGAAAATGATAATGTTACGAATATACATTGGTTCCTTTCTGTTTTAGAGCAGAGCAGATCTTCAGCACGTCACAGCAATGAGGAACATTATGCAGAAGACAAGGAACGCAGTCGCTCTCCACGGCCTCGCTGCCACCGTTGCGCCGATGGTCCTGGTTGCTAAGTTTCTTGGAGTGGCACCGTTCGCGTACGACTCCTCTTTGGCTCGCGATGGAAGGACAAGACATCGCTTAGTCGTGTCGAACATTGCAAGGGTTTACTGTTTGGTTCTCTTCGCGATATATTTAATGGGGTTGGCGACATTATTCTTCGACAACACGTACGTAACATACAACTCTTGTAGCACGGTAATGTCTCTAGTAAGTTTAGCTACATGGTTAGGCCATTTGTTTCAAGGAGTTTTAACTATATTTGTCGTTAATATTATTTACCCGAAAAGTATGGTAAGTGTGATTGGAACTCTTGATAAAGTACATAGATCGCTTGTGAAAAGTGACAGCAATTTGCCCATCATTGTGAACGTCGTTTGTTTCCTAAAAGTTGCAGAACTTGTGCTTGAGCTCTCTCTCTTTCGATTTATTTAATTTGTTACTTGCACGTTACCGGCATCGCTGGAAAGTTAGCTTGCTTCGTTGAGCTTGTAGCTTACATCTCATCCTGTATGTGCATTAGCATTTGTACACATCTCACGTTTTTACACTACGTATATTTCTCGTTAATAAACTGCTTACCAGTAATGCAAGGCATTATCCACTGTGGAGAACGCTCATTCCACAAAAATCACGGAGAAACACACAACGGCTTAGAAATGTGGGCAAAGAGACTCAACCCCAATTCACGACAAACAGAAATCCCCGATTCAAGCCTTGCTAGTCTTCGCGACGCTCGTCAACTCCATTTCAACTTGTGCTGGTCCTTGGACCAAACGCAATCCATATTTTCTCTGCTGCTCACGTACGACCTGCTGGTGGTGATTATATTCCTGTGCTTGTTGTGCCTGGTCATCATGGAAGACGCGCCCGTCGCCGCGTCGCAAGCCTCCAGTAGCCTGTTCAGCCGCTGCGTGGCGCTGGTGTGGGTGGCGTTCGACGTGGCGAAGCTGATCGCGCTGGCGGTGGCCGGGGAGCTGGCGTCGAGGGAGGGCCGGCGCGCGGCCGGGCTGGTGCAGAGGGCGCTGCTGGCGGCGCCGCGCGGCCCCGCCCCCGCCCCCGCCCCCGCCGCTGGCGCGTGCCGGCGCGCAGAGTGGGAGGGCTTCGCGGCGCAGGTGGCCGCGTGCAGCACGGAGCCCCGCGCCGCCGGGAGGCTGCGGGTGGACCTGGGTCTGCTGGGCGTCGCCGTCAGCACCACCATCTCCTACCTCGTCATCATGATGCAGTTCCGAGCGGCGGAGAACTCCCGAAACGAGACAGGGTCCTAGTTAGTTAGAACCGAAAATCTTTGGGCCTGGTATCACCCCGCGATTACATCAGATTTATTTGGCTATTTTTTGTATATTAAATATATACCCTTCTTAACGCCCATGTGTATACTATATTACATATGTATACAATTATTTTTCTATTTTTCAAAAAACATTTCCTGGACATCTTATCTAGGTTTTCCAAGAAGTATCCACCCATTTATTATCGCGCGTCGTATAGGAAATCATTCAGTTATTTGATTTTCCTGCGATTAAATAGAAGAACTTTCCTAGATATTTATCTTTTGTATTTGGAGATCAAGGACGAGGACAACACGAAAAAACAACAAATTCTTGTTTTAACGTTGTTAATTTGATCTTACTCATGTCTTGTATTTATCAGATGGAAAGTGTAAACAAAGATTATTAGTTTGTAATTATATAGTGTTTAAAATTTTAATCTATTAAAACTGGTGTGTATGTATTCACTTGTTTTCGCTTTTGGAGCGCTGACATTCTTTGCATCTATCGCTTTACCATTTAACAATGTATCTCTTATACGAAACGAATGATCAGTGGCTTTGCTTACTGCACAGAACTCTAAGACTGCGCCATGCGTGTCTTTGTTCACATGTTCTTTTATTTTAGCAAGAAAATATACTATTTGCATTTCTCATTAATACAGACTTAATTATATACTATTTTCCTTCTCACCTTCCTGAAACGCGGACAAAGTAAAATCAGACTCTGCGCTCTCGACAGAACGAAGGTTTAATAGAGATGCCAGCAAGAGGTATATCTATTAACGGAATATAAGAGACACAATAATATGAGCGACACAACGAACTTCAACCATCCTTCTGTCGAACATACTTCATTGGCATTCAGAGTTCTTATTTTTAGAAATAGAGATTGTTATTATTTGCCACTTTCCTCTAAAAAAGAATTTTCTGCATTCATCATTATGATCAATTATATTCCCGTGAATAAAGTTGATAATTTTTAAAGTGTATTTGGTCATCATTCAAATTATAGCCTTTAATTTGTTTGAAAAGAAATAGTATGCGAAGCGAGTACAGAGTTTTCGTACACAAATTTAGCTCCTCGACGCTATGACTTATCCTGTAATCGTGGGAATATTTGTATCCTTTATAAACGTAGGTTGCAAGAACGCTAAATCTAGACGTCGGATTGGGCGACCTTAATCTTTCATCAAGTTATAATTTCGCAAACCTGAAATTGCGTGTTCTGTCTCGCTGAAGCTATCAAGTAATATTAATAAATGGGTGATTCGGCACAGTTCTTTATAGTGTCCATTTCATTAACATAATTTTAATGATAAACATTTCCACTAAAAATACTTTTTCTAATAATATTGTTTTCACAATCAGATTTTTTTCGTGGAAAGGGTTTCCTTTGAGCAGAAAGTTTCACTTAACACAAACTTGGTTGTTTAGTATCTATCTCTCCCAACCAAGAGATGTGTTACTTGTTAACGAGGAGCGAAATCGATTCATTACTTTGGACATACTTGCAATTCACAAGTAATATTGCTGGTGTCAAGCACACTTTTGTAGTTTCTTTATACTATTATTTACTCACAATTTGTATTCACAAAAAATTTTAATTTTCTTTAAATAGCACTTTTTCGTCTTAACTTTTATGCTAATTGTAGGCCATAAATGTAATTTCATCAAATTTATATTCTTCCTCTTTTTCCTCAATTACGGACAAAACGCCATTTTGTTGGTCTATGGTTTATTCGCCAACCACGTGGGAAGTCGAGTAATCGCCAGCGAGAGAAGTTTGCGTTTAATTGCGCAAAGAGCTCGGCCCTCCGCCCGGCGTCCTGTGGCGTCCACCGCGTGCGGTTGGCCGGACTTGCACGTGCAGCGGGCGGCGGAGGGCGGTGGCGGCGGTGGCGGCGGTGGTTGGCGCCATAGAAGCGCCGCGCGGCCGAGTGGAGATTAGGACGATCTACCGGCTTTGTTCTGTAATCCAGGGCAGCGGGGTCGGCGCGCGGCGCGAGGCGCTCCGGTGCCGCATGCGGACCGCCTTCGGGCTCCGCCCTGCGCCGCTGCTTCTCTGCCTCCTCCGCTGTTCGATGCCTCGCAACCACCCTCTCGCCCTTGAATTTTGTGGCAGCTGAAGCATCACGAAGATTTGTCCCCGGCACTCCTTTTTCCAGCCGTCCCGTCAACCTGCCTTCCGTCATCTCACCTACCGACACCCATCACGTCCCATCTTACCTCTCGCCTCCACTCCACCCCTCCGTCCGGTTACCCCTCCCGTCCGTCGTCCTGCCCTTTATCTCATCTCACCATTCCTACGTCTCACATCCCACCTCCTCCCTGTCCCACCTCCCCCCGTCCCAAAAAACTCCTGTCCCACTTCCCATTTTCCCTTTCCATCTTGTCCAGTCACCTCCTGCAGTCCCATTTCCTTCTCTCCCACCTTTTTCTGCCACACCTTTTGCCTTCTCATCTTCCCCTTATCACCTCCTCCCTTCTACAACATTTCTACAGTTTATACAACATTTTGTATAGGAAATGATTCACAGAGTCATCGAAAATATTTAAGACATCAATATTCTAACCTATTTTACACCAGTGGGGCTACAATGCGAACAATGCTCAATATTCGGAAGAAACATGCTTTGCATGTAATAATTTTCATACTTCTTTCTTCCTACCTCCTCCGACACTCATAGATGCAGATTTTCTTCGGTGGCCTTCAACCTTCTTTCGTATTCGCCTGTTGTATTGTTGTTTAGGTTAGGTTTTCCGTCATCTGCACATTTTTTACTACTTTTTGAAAATCTTCCTATAATAGATTTCTTCTATGTTTCTGCCAGTACTTCCTAAATACTAGTAACATACAACTTCGAAAATTCTGAAAAATAATATGTCATTCAGTCATTTCTGTATTTTCAGTTCTTCTGATTCTGATAACCATTGCTTTTTCTCAATCCTGGAACGTGTGATATGAACAAGGGCGAGAGGGATGAGACTTCATTTTCTCAAAAGAACAACGTTTGAAATTCCTTATTTTCTTTTTCTTTTAGGCATCTTAAATAGTTTACTGTTTAACGGCATTTTCCCCAACATGTTCATTTTCCAAGATTCCTTGTCCTGTCCAACGGTATCTAAGGTAAGATACTAGCAAGTTCCCTAAAGTACTCGTATTTGAGAAACAAGTTTGTTTTCTCACAAAATACTAGGCAAAATATTTCTCTTGGATATCTCCTTTAACATACTTGCATTATATATCACCAACGCCTTATTTCGTTTCATTTCCCATGCAATCTCTAAATTCCTACATCCAATCCTATATTCCGAATATTACGTACCCTGACTCAGCCTTCGGAAAACCACACCCTTTGTGGCTTCCTCGTATGCCCCCACATCGCTCAATCCCATCGTCGCTGGCCACCGCTACGCCATTGAGAGAAACGCCATTGATGCCCCTCCGACCAAGCGGCTTCTTCCTCATGGCTAACCCGACGTAGCGTTCTCCAAGCCCTCACCTCCCGTGGCCTGTGCCATCGCCCCGCTGCCTCACCTCGCAGGCTCACGGGTGGGCGCGGCGCGGCGCGGGCTCGGGAGACAATGGAGGCGTAATTGAGAAGGGTGTTCATTGTCCGTGGCACTTGCGGCGTCAGCGGCGCTCTGATCCCCGCCCGCGTGGCCGGCTCGGCGCGGCGCGACGCGGCCCGCTGCCCGCCCGGGCGAGCGCTCGGTTGGCGGGTGGCGGGACGAGGAGACCGGTGGCGCTGTGCTGCGGATGCGCCGCCCGGTCACCACACGTTGCTCCCATCCGACGTTTCGAAGCCCCAACGCTCGCCCCACGTCACACCGCCCAACGTCGTCCCGGCCCATTGTCCGTCCCCCCCAAGTCGCGCGCCGCCACGTCGCCCGGCCCACGTCCGCCCGCACCGCCGTCGCCCGCCCCCGTTGTCCGCCCCACGTCACGTGCCTCACGTCGCCCCGCCCCCACGTCGCCGCCTCCCACGTCGCCCCGCTCCACGTCGTCGCGCCCACGTCGCCGCAACCACGGATCGCCGGCCGCCCCACTTCGCCCGTCCCCGCGTCGCTGCCCCATACGTGACCGGCTCCCACGACGCCAGCCCCCGTGACATTAGCTCCCACAGGGCTCTCTCCCATGTCACCCTCCCCGCGAGTCCCCCCTTATTGCGCGGCATCGCCATGAGTTACCCGCGTCGCTCCGCTGCCCGCCTCATCGTCGTCTCACTTCTCTCGCCCACGCCCACTCTGCTCTTTCTCTCTCGTCTAATCTCGCGCAATTTGTCTCGCCATGCTTCAGGTATCGCTTTGCCTCATCCCGCTGTCTCCCATCGCCTCGCCCCTTCCCATGCCTCGCGTCGCTCCTCCTCGTCCCTCCTGCTTCCTCCTCTTTGTGTCTCACCTTACGTCGCTGTGCTTCACCTAGCCACCCGCTGCCTTGCTTCGTCTCGCTCCGTCCGCTTCTTAGAGTTTTGTCCCATCCTGCTCTGCCCCGGCTCTCCCTGGCTCACCCCGCTAGACGTCATCTCTTCTCACTCAATCACACCCTTACGGTCACCGCCGCACTCCCTGCTCAACCCACCTCTCCCAACAGCCTACCGTTGCCTCACCTTTCTCGCTTCACCATGTCCAACCCGACAGGCTTCATTTCTCTCCTCCCCTCGTCCCCCTTCTGTGCTCTCTCATCTCTCTCCCCCCTCTCTTCCTTTCTCTTCTCGCCTGGCGCGCCTTTCATCCGATCATCCTCTT